GAAGCCAAAGCCAGAAAAGGTGAACAGCCATGAAGAAGCCGAGATGATCAACCAAAAGCCGATTGAACTTGAGGAGAATGAAAGTTCAACAAGCCCCAACAGGACAACCCATATATCCACAAGTCCCGGAGTAAGTGCGAAGTCCGTACTGATGATTTCATTTGCACAGCAGTTCCTCCCTACAAATGCCGAGCAGGACGTGAAGACGATTCTGCCCCAGTTTCCATGGGAGTTGATGTTTGCGTGCGTGATCATTGTGCTGACAGGTCTCTTTTGGTACAACACAACTTACTACGCGGAGTGGTTTTTGTGGTATGAGGACCTTGCATTGTACAAACAAGGTGCACTTGTTTCAGTGACAACAATGCTAGTGGTCGTGCTCGGGTTGAAGACAACAGTTTCACAGAATTCAGAATGTTTGATGTTGATGTGGGGTGGAATGGTGATCATGATAGTGTTGCTGGTGAAAAGACTTGATGAAAAGACATCAACGATCTTTACACTCTTGGGACAAGAACGTAAGAAAACCCAGGAGCTGATTCATGCAGGTATGGCACAAATGTTCAATGAAAACAACATCATGCTGACAGGGATGGACCGCATGAAGCATGCCATCAATGAGGATTTCAAGAAAGTGTCGGCTTTCATTGGTGACAGCAACCGATTTACTTACCAGAAGATGGATGATATTGCAGAAGAAAGCAATTACAGGATCACAAAAGTCATCGACAGGTTGATCAGGATTGAGTACAAACAAGAACGACAAGAAGTACGAGCTCTGGATTTGGAGAAGCGATTGAAGCAAAAGAAAAGGCACAGAACACCCTCCATGAGTTCTGATGAGAAAAGGGCAATCCTATTGAAGAGGCAGGACAGAAGAGAAGCCCCAGGGACTCCAACAGAGTCAGAAATCATGAGCGTGCTGGAAGATCCGGCAATTCCAGAGCTATTTGTGGAGCCAGGAGCAGATGGTCGGCTGGCACCACATGAAGAAGATGGCAGTCAGGATGATGACTATGAGGAACTTCGTGATGAAGCAACAAAGAAGAACATCGGCATGGACCAAGGAGCTTGGGAGAAGATGACAACAAAAGAGCGAAAATACTTCCTGCTGACGGTGATGTGGGAAGCAGCGTGTGTGTACAAAGATGAAGTGCACATTTCAAGCATCAGTCAACAGATGCAAGCACTTGCCGATGAGATCAATGCTGAAGCCCTGATATCAAGATCAGGAGCAAGCAGCTCACATCACGATGTCCAGATGTCAGAGCGTGAAAGGTCACAGAATGTTGAGGAATGTAAAGTTGATGACCTATGTGCATGACCTTTCACGACCTGACAGGTGATCGAATGGCCGGTCGGAACATCACGCGCTCATGTGTGTGGTGGTTTCGGCTCGAATCCCTCACCTAGGCCTTGAGCCCTAGCGAGCCCGTGAAAAGGTTCGTTTGCGCTCATTCCGCGCTTTGCAATATATACTCATTTAGACCAAAAGATAGCAAGACCACGTCACTGATTTGACACCTACCGACCCTTTGAATTTCCATGTGATGGCGCTTCAAACACGGTTGGATGACCATGTTCGACAACAGGAGTTTTGAATGTGAGCGGCTCCTTTAAGTCTCCCCGTCATGCTGTCGCTTTGGGTTCAAAAGGTGGGAGGAATGGGCTGACCCGTATATGGATGAAATCTCAGGCATTGTACTGCCCCCTCACCAACGAGAATATGTTTCCATGCCTTAATCCAAAAATATTGGAAGTGGACAGTGGACCCTTAAGCTTGGAGACGATTTTTTTCTCAAGAGACAGTCTGTTTTATCATATGATATACCCACTTCCATGTTTGTTGGAGGGTATTGAAGCTGGCCTTTTTGAACCCGGCTGCTGGCTCGCAGGGCTCTAAACTTGGATTGCCTGTTCTGGGAAATGAATGACATGGTGCAGATTAAATGTGCTCTGAATAGAAGCAAGTCCCAGAAGAGACTAGACGGCCTGGTATTGGTGATGTTTGCCTCAAGCTTTGTAACCAGGTTGTACTTTCTCAGTTGCAGTTACATTTTTTGGTCTCAAAGATATGGTGATTCCGAGACATTCATACACAAATATTTTAAATACTATTGTGATCGATATATAGGTATTTTTAACCTAATAGCAGTGGCCTCCAACCTAATAGCGATGGACTCAACAAAGATCCATGTGGACAGACAAAGCACAGTGACTGGCCATGTTCCATTGCTCAGCCACTGGCCATGGCTCAGTTGAACGTCTCTGATGGCCAGGGGTTCCACTCCGAAGTTCGTTCCCTCCTTTCAACTGCATCGGGCGAACCAGGTTTGACCAGGTTTCGGTCCACCGACGATGGGCGGGCCGTGGAAGGTTCGGGAGGTCGACCGGGAATTCTCCAGGACTGGCTGAAGTGAACGAAGAGGAGCCGGACATGGCGGGCACCTGGGCGGAAAAGTGGGAACGGCCAGGCTGGTATTTGTCCATTCTGGTGAAGCTCCAAAATCTCCGGTGTGACCTTGAAGCACATGAGCAAGACGATTGGGGAAGAACAAAGAAACGTGGACTCATTGGTTGACAGGCCGGGGTGGTGCTGTTGAGGGTTTGGTTGGCCAGGTTTGCCAAATCAATGACTTACTTTCTGCACGGTGTTAAAGCACCACGGTGCTTTTCGGTAAACAGCGTTTTCCATGACATGTTTTATGACCTTGTTAAATCAATGTAAAATACATGCTTCAGGACCTGAGCCCGTTCGTGACCTGGAACTGGAGTCTTCGGCCTTGTGACCTCTGATCTCAGCCTGGGACGAGTCGTTTTCCCGACCCGCCACTGGGATCTCGACAGTCACTGTGGTGTTTTACTATGGTTCAAACATATTTAGGAGAACAAGGCCGAACACCGGGCCTCCACTGGAGCCTCCACAAGGTTTGCAACTGGGTTCCAACTTGGCGCACTGGTTATAGCCATTGCCGCAGCCATTGCTATCGAGCATCAGCCGCTTGACCCCCGCTATCGAGCATCAGCTGCTTCAAGGAAGGGGACGGGACGGAGTTGGGCAGGTTCCTGGCGCTTGGAAGTGCGGCAAAAAAAACACCCCTTCAACCCACCTGCCTCATATTTCCCATGAATCACACACTTATGGAACAACAAACAGATCGACTGTTCACGCGTCCAAGTACGCTTGCAGGAATTCATTCATGTCCATGTTCTTGGGCAGAATTTGTGTTTATATTTGAATGCAAGCAAAACCATAGCTTGTCCTTTGAGATTCAGACAGCAAAGAAATGAAAACAAAGCTGGCAAACGGAGGCATGTACTACTCCACAGCTGTGATAAACCTATATGATGTGCGCTCGACTGAGCAATTGCAGTAAATGAACGAGTGTGAAAGAGTAGGCAAAAGACGTCCTTGGTAAGTCTTTGTGACTGCCTGGCCAGTTTGGTTTGGTCCTTGGATCAACGAATCCTTCAGAGGCTAGGCTGAGCTTTAGAGTTCGAAGCGAACACGGATGGTCAGCTTCTTCACTGTGCTTTAAACTCATTCTTACTGTAGCTGTTTGTCTAGGATTGATCCTGATTCTTTAGAGAGCAACAGGTTGGCACAGGGTGGGCTCCCTAATCCAGGCAAAAGACCCCCAACAGTGTATAATAGTGCATCTAAAGAGCTAAGGTCTAGAGGTGTAGCAGCAGAAGGTCTAGAGATCTGGACGTATTGGGCTCCAGAGCGAGGTGATGGTGGCGATCATGGTGGCAATGATGATGGTGATGGTGGTGGTGACGATGGTGATGATGTCGGTGATGGTGTCGGTGTTGGTGGTGGCGGTGGCGGTGATAGTGGTGATGCTGGTGGTGATGGTGGTGGTGGTGATGGTGGATGATTGTGGAGATGGTGGTCATGATGGTGGTGGTGATGGTGATGATGATGATGATGGTGGTGGTGGTGGTCATGGTGGTGATGGTGGTGGTCATACATAGTGGTGATGGTGGCGGTGGTGGTGATGGTGATGATGGTGGTGGTGATGATGGTGGTGGTGATGATGATGATGATGTTGATGTTTGTGGAGCTGGTGGTGGAGGATGGTGGTGATGGCGGTGGTGATGGTGATGGTGGGGGTGGTGATCGTGGTGATGGTTTACAAGGCAGGTTTTGAATTGAAGGTCTAGGTCCAGGGAGAGAGAGAGATGTCTGGAGATCTAGAGCTGGAGGTGCAAGGAACACACATATGAAAGGACATGTAAAAGCACGCGCATGAGAGCACACACAAATGAGCACATACAACATACATGTATGGGAGCGCGTTGATAGAGCACGCATGAAAGCACCCATATGAGAGCACTTCCTGCGCCTCCCATGCAATTTGCACATCGAGGTCCACAAAGAACTTTATAAATATTGTGCCTGCCACGAAACCTGCACTTCAAGGTCCCACAACGAGAGCGCCTCGAAGAGCACCCGCAACAGCCCACCAGATTCTGCGAGCCTGCACAATTGAAATGCACTCTTCTGAACACTGTTTGAGGTCTCTTGCTGGGGGAGTTGAGGGTTGAGCCAGTATATATAGATAGTTTTTTAGCTCAGGTCTGTTTCGAGGTTGCTGTTTGAAAGGACAAAGGTTTCATGGATGAGACCAGTTTGTTGGGTTTTTCCACAAATCTGAAAAGATGGCGTTGCGGTTGGATTTTTCCACAAACCTGAAAAGATGGCAACAAATCTACTTGGGAGTTCATCAGGTCAAGATGCAAAGGAACATCGTGGCGGTAAAAAAAACATAAATGAGGTTAGCGGTTAGCTACCATGGCGCAGATACAGGAAACGGGTTTGTGATGTGACATGGTGTGCTTTGAAACAACACCAGACAAAGGTTTGTTCCAACATAGCATGACCGAACAAAACAGTCCAACATTGATGATCCTAAAATTTGTTTCCGCGAATTGAGCAGGTTTTTTCTTTCAAAATAGTTCCCCCTTGTTGTTTTCTTCCTGGATCTTGGTGCAGGATGCTGAGTGGCGGATTCAACATGGCGGTGCAGCAAGGCCCACTTCCATTGACAGAGGCAGATCGAATCTTTGACCTTTTCGACACCGATCATGCCGCTGGGATGCACGATGTTTCTCGATTTTGTCCATGGGGTGGACAGAGTGACAACTGTCTTTTCTCGCCTTTGAAGATGAAGTGATCCACACTGTTTTGATCATGTACTTCTGAGGGACACTGACACCATCTGACACCTTTGAGTTACCCAAATGTCCATCGTGCCTTCACAGTCCCCCGAAATACCAGATAACATGTTGGAAATCATTGAAAATCTGAAAACAACTAGAAACAACTAAAAAAGACGACTAAAATAATAGATCAGCAAAATCCCTCTGACACTCCCACTCACTGACATAGAAGTGGAACACCACTTGTTTGTAAAGTAGTCTTTCCAAAGGCCATTGTCCACTTCCATGTGAGTGAGTCGGAGTATAGGTATCATATATATATATATCGATCATATAGTCAGTCTCAGGATGGACAGCTTCTCCCGGAGGAGTTCCAGCTGGCCTCGAGGGTCATGCAGCTTGGATTGAAGCGACCTATTGCCTTCCAAGGTTATCATGAGGTAAATCCTACATCCATGTCAGGAGTTCTAACAAGACGCAGGGGAACATCAGAAGCTCAAAGACTAGGGAACATCAGAATAGTAAATAGGGAGATATAGGGAGACCTCCCAAATACCCCCTGGAAGAAGAGAAATAGAATGAAATAGACCAGTCTACAGTCTACCCATTGGTTGGAATCCTGGAAGCCCCCTCCAAACACATGTCTACACACCCATGTGCTCTCATCCCACACCTCGGACCCTCATTGAACAAGGGCATTGGTACAAGGGCAGCAAACGACCAGGAACGACCGAAGCTACAAACCGAGTTCCGGAGCTCCTGGCCGTACTACGAACGGAGCATCCTTACTCGTAACGACCGAAGCTACGTACGATGGAGGCCATCGCTTTGAACATAGCATGTTCATGTTCCAATTAGACTTGCTAAGGCGAGGAGAGCTGCCGCTGGAGATCGCACTGGTGTGGAACAACCAGCAGGCGAGGAAAGGGAGCCCCCTCCCCAGCTGATGCTTTGGACCGATGTCCTACGCAGGTTTCTGTTTTTTTGGGGGGAATGAATCGAGTTGAATCGAGTTCTCCTTTGGCCTGTATTTCCATCGCAGAATAATTACAGAACTCTCGCTTCACAAAGTCCATTTATGTGAGGGTTATGTTGCATTGGAACCCGAGGGGAGCTCAATTGATAGGAACTTCGGCCAATGGTGGCAATGGTGGGGTCTTCTGTGCGTCCATTTGGTGCCTGAAATTACACGCCTCGTTGGGGTGTTCAGGTGATCGAAGAACGAGCCCCGCAGAACAGGTTAGGTTCATTCAAGAAAACATCCATTTCGGCTCAAGGTATCACTGCCAGGAGCCCCCGCAAAAGCAGAAACAATAGTTGAGGCACCTAAACAATCTAAACACCAGGGTGTTTGGATTGGAGAACCGCAGGATTTTGAGAACCTGCAGGGCCCAAGCGGACCTGCTCTCCTTGGGACAGGCGATGAAGAAACACATCAATCAGATGCAGAGTGCCTTGGCCAAGAAAAGTGGTAGGCCTGCTTGCACACTTGATTTGAAAAGGTGAGCAGGTGGATATATGACCGAAGTCATGGGTTCACATTGAGTTTCCAGTTGATTGGTATGGAAGAGATGACATGTACTATGCAGGAGAAATGCTGTGGTCTCTACTAATCAAAGGAGTATGATTGTTCATGAACCGGTCTCGGCCCAACTTTTTGTGGGTGCCCATGTCCATGCAAATCCCAGCCGTATTTGGTGCGTGGTGGAATAGGTGTTGGGTGTGTACTACGGCATAGAGGTCGATTTCCCTCCCCATCATCAAGCATTTCTGTCAACAGGCTGCAGTTGTTCTTTGTAGAAGCCCGACTGATGTGGCTGCCATCGCCTTAGGAAGTTGGGGTCCGTGTACCGTGCAGCCCCCCACGATGACGCAGCCCCCGCGTTGAAGGATCGACGGTTGTTAGGTTGTTCGGTCTTAGCCTGGTTGTTCGGTGCGCAAACTCAGAAGGTGAAGTTCGAGTTTGTGACCTGAAGTCGAAATTCCAGAAAGCTGGAGTTTGCGACCTGAAGGTGGAGTTTGATCAGAAGGTGGAGTTTGCGACCTGAAGGTCGAGTTAGAGCTTTTGTAGAACGGAATTGCGACCTGAGCCGTTCTTGACCGAGTCGCCACTGGGAGAAGGTCCTGGTGGACGGCCTATTTTCGATCCACTGCAGGTGAGCTCAAGGAGATGAAGGAGATGCTGACGAACCTTGTGGCAGCGCCTCACGCGCGCCCTCAAAAGCCGAAGTTGGCTAAGACAGTGACTCACCTGCAGAAAAAACAGTTTAAAAAAACAAATATGTTCAATCATATGGATTGCATTGGTTTGCTCACAGCACAAACTCAGGTGAGGACATTTGAGGCCCGTGGTTGGCCCGTGCAGGAAGAGGCGCTCTCAGATTCACATGTTATTGTGGAGTGCTTCTTCAGCATGGGCTTCCCAAGCTCGCTTCACGGGTCCGTTCGCATCCACGTTGGCTTGGACATGCAACTGAATTCTGGTTGATGGCAATCTCTTTCCCAAAGATGACGTTGTTGATGGCAATCTCTTCACATGCGGCTTGTGGGTCGGTGGGTCCCAAGATGTCTGAACAAACACTTCTATTGAAGTAATGGTGATGGCGTTCAACCTGATGTGATGGCCTCCAACCTAATAGCAATGGCCTCCAACCTAATATATAGCATCCCTTTGATGTCAATCTGCAACTTCTGGATGGGTTCTGGATGATTTTGGGAGACTACTCACCCCTCAAGACCATTTGAGCACTTCGTTGGGCGTCAGCAAGAGGAAACACCATTCATGTGGGTTGATGCGTGTGTCCCCACTAGGCGCGGTGCATTTAGTATTTCCACTAGTTTGAGACACATCCAGATTGGTTGAGTAGCTGCAACATGCCGATCCCCCCCATTTGGTCCAATGATCAAATCTTACAACCATACCTATTTTCCTCATGCTTTCGGGATTTTCATGGATAGCTATGTCTAACCCCAATCTATTTGGTGGCCTGGAGGAAGCTAATGCTTATGTATCCTGTGTTATGTATCCTGCCCTGGGAGCATAAGTGCTAGATGGAGATTCCTTACCACCCTTTGAAGTACTTTGAGACGTCCATCTCTTTAGACACGCTTGGCACCAGGCTAACTTGAAGTCTCCTAAGTCTACTCCTCCAGTTCAATCGTTACAGCGTCTGGGCAGCACATCCTTGGTTTGTTTCAGGCAACTGGCTTTGCCTGTTAGAGCAGCTGGCAAACATTGAGTTGCTGGCATTGAGTCGCTGTTGTCGTTTGGCAAGCCACGATCAGCTGTTTTGTTGTTTGTTCATGGTTCGTTTTTGTTCCTTTTTTGCGGACTGAAGGATTGCGGACTGGTCAGTGGCCCACACAAATCGACACTAGCAATGACAACATACCACAAAGTGTGTGTTGTCTTTTTGATGAAGTCAAAAGCACGGCGCAGGATTTGTTGATGTTTTTTTCCTCCAATGTTTCGCTCCGATTCGCAGAGTTGATTTACAGAAGTTCCCAGTCTGTTAGGTCGACGCAATGCACTCCTGATTCGAACTTCTCCAACTCCCTGAGCTCCTATGGCATGACTGGACAGAATCTTGGCGATTAATGTCCCATCTTTCCAACTGTCGACGCTCACCGGCAGTTGTGTAATGTCAACAATGATGTACAGTAGATGGCACGGGGCCCCCAAGATGACTTTTAGATGGGGGTCCATTTGAACAATCGTTTGAGGCTTGCGCCTACTCTCAATCCACTTTATAATACAAGTTGGGATCTACCTACTGAGAGGGTTTCTGAAGAGAGCGGGGGGACTGTGGGCGTCCTATGTTTTCTAGTTTCATAGTTGTTCTTATGAGCTCATCAGTTCATCTCAAACGACCTGATTGTCAGTTCATCTCAAAAGACCTGATTGTTCAACTAATACATTATAACAAAGTCTTTCTGACAAAAAACAAGATGACAAGGTTAAGGGAGTTGTTACGGATTTTTCGATTGCAACACAATGACGTCACATATATCGATTCATGGAACTTGTAGATTTGAAGACTGTCGTATGAATAACTATGTCATGTGTATATTATTACTGTCTTTTGACACAGATGCCTTTGGATCAGATGCTTATCAGAAGACCGGGCCACATGTTCGGCTTGCTCGTGCTCGTGCGCCAGGACCCATGAGGATCGCAAACGGGATGAAGGACCCATCTATATCGTAGAGGCCAGTGAAGATGACTGGTGCCAGCTGATGTGAGCAAGGATTATGTTCTCTATGTTCTCATACGCATGGCTCACAAAATGACAAATGATGGTTGTTTTACCGATCTCAGCACTGTGACACACAGGTCACAAACCGCCGAAAATGTGACACACAGGTCACGAACCGCCGAAAAATGCAAAGGTTGCAAGGGCACAACCAGCGGGCCGGCAACACGCCCACCCCCTTGGGTGCCTGCGCAACCTTCATTGCTTTCGCAGTTGCTTTCGCACAGTTCGCATTGGGCAAGTCCTTAAGGGCTGGTCACCATTGCCTCAGTTTGAAGAAAAGCTGGACGGCTCGGAAGGGTCGGTGGGATAAGTTCTGAAGAGGCCGTCATTTTGCTTCAATTGTAAGGAAGAGGCCAGGAGTTCAAACTCTCTCTGCAAGACGCCCGGGCCCATTCTTCTATCTAACAATTCCTTCCAACATCTTCCAACCAACTAAGGCCCTGCCTGGCGGAAGTTCCACCCACTGCCGCGGCCAGACGCGCTAGCACAGCAGGCCGTGGCCGAGGTGACCTCGATGGCGAGGGAGGCGCCCACGCGGCGACGTGTTGCGACGCGTGGAGGAAGGTCTTTCTTCGCTCATGAAAACCGTGTTTGACTGGATTAGTGGAATGAAACGGAGGAGGGTGGAATTGAAGAAGCCGTGTTAGCCTTGTTCGTTCACCTGAGGTGTGGTGTTGACAACATCACTCCGATTCCGCATAAGCGATTCCGCCTCAAGTTGCCGAACTCGCAAGACCGTTTGGATCAGTTGCCGAACTGACACAGGGTTTGTGGGTATGTCGGGGTTTTGGAATCCTCGAGGTTGTTCTTCACATCATCAATATGTTTTGTGTCCATTCCACTCCCATGAGACGTATGGTGACTCCCTATTGACGACCTACCAAGTATACCATCAAGCACCCATCATCCTACATTTGCTGCTCTTGAAGACCTACGAACGACCTATCATCAACACATGTAACATGTGAGGCTCGGTGAAAAAGCGAGTGCAAACTGTGTCGTTGGACCGCGGCTTGGCGCATCTGGGCGCCATATGATGCCGGCATTTGTTTGATGATTGCTTTCCCTTTCAACTGGAAAATGCCGTTCCAACCATCCAAGCAGTTCTTAGCTTAGCCGTCAATGGTTGCCATCAACCTCAGTTGGTGTCCGCATCCTGGTCTTCAAATCCTGGATTGTTTTTTTGGTGTACTGTAATGCATTCTCCTCATGCCCTCTCGTTAGGCGTTGATCATGGAGAGCGGAGAGAAGATGGCCATCGCACAAAGAGGGCCAGCTGAATATTTGGTGGAGACTCGCTGTGGAGGGTGTGAATAGAGGCATTTGGGCATTGGACACATGTGGAAAAACGTTCCAGGGCAAACATCCTTGGGTGAGGGCTCAGATGGGCTGCAGCTACAAAATGCTACAGTTAGAGCAATAGATGGTTTGGTTATGCTTTGTTTGAGAACAGCACAAGGCTGTATGCACTTGACACCCTGCAAAATCTCTCGAAACAACGGACAAAGAACATGATCCAAGAGAACTGCACCAGTACTTGTTTTCTTTTTCACATAATGTATGCTACTAGGTTGGAGGCCATTGCTATTAGGTTGGAGGCCATTGCTGTTAAGTTGGAGTCCATCGCCATCAGGTTGGAGGCCAAGGCTATCAGGTTGGAGCCCATCGCTAGTAGAATCACTTTTGCATTATTACATAGGTGTTCGCTTGCGGGCCGACAATTTTCCCTTTTGCCCATCCCTTTGCAGACGTGACCCAGCGCTTCGCCAAGGACAACAGCGCCTTGCAAGCGCATGCGCCTGGCATCACCTTCCGCTTCAGCGCCTCGATTCTGCGGTCGATCGGGTGGGCTGGAGCATGGGAAGAGGCTGTTTTGATCTTCAATTGAAAGATCGCTTGGCTGAATGGGAAAGAGGAATTCCTGATGTCTAATCCAACTTTTAACATTTTGTAGCATACACACGTTGCTTGATGGGCCTGAACGGATGCTACTTTGCGATTTGGGTTCCTGCCTCGTTGAGGCTTGACTCTTGTCCCCTCGCAACTTTGGGCCTAAAGTTGTTGACTTGTTGATCTGGTGATTGTGGCATTTTGCTTAGAGATCAACATTGGATTGGATCCTTTTGTCCCTGTCAGCCGGAGGACGAGGACGTGGCTGGACGATGTCCTGCTGCGGCGGTTTTCGGTGAAGTGGCTGGTTTCCGGAGGGGCTGGGTGCAGTGTTGTTCCACTGAATTCCAGTGATATCCCGTGTTTCCAGTGAGGGTCAATCATTTCAATCAGTGACCTTTGTTTCAGGTCATCCAAGATCACTGCGTCCCACGTTTTTACGATTTTTAAGATCTCACTTTCGGGGCATTTCCTTTGGAACCTGACAGACTAAACCGTTCAGATCTCTTCTCCACCACTGGGCTGGATCGCAGCATGCCCTTCTACTAATCATCTACTCGTCTTCCTCCCACGGGCGCGAAGGAGAGTAGGCTCCAAACGCCAGGAGTTCGATCACGTAAACATTTGTGTCTCTGAGGCAAACATCTGGAGGATCGTGATGACCTTGGTGAACTGGCAGCCTTTGGCAGTGTCGTCTTAGGCATCGACGAGGGCGACGGACACTGGGACCGCATGGCAACTGGTGAGGTGAGACACCGGGCGTTGTTTTCGACAACAAAAAGCGCCTGAGGGAGGTGAAATGGTTGTGGATCAATGGCACCCGAATACTCACCTTCCTGGACCATCCAAGGGGTGCCCTGTCTGAAAGCCTATAGGTAGTGTGGGGTAGTCCAGCCAGGACACCCCTTGGATGGTCCTGGTTGATTGATCTTCATTGACCTATTTGGAAAGTCGGTCGCTACATCGACTGCTCGGGCTCTAGGGGGGTGGGTCACCAGCAATTGCACCCGCATATTGCAGGTTCGTTTTTTGGGACCACCAGCGATGCTGGGCGATGAGCAAGATCATGCACCTGCGTGTTTGTGGATCAAAGTCTTGGTCGAAAGCGGAAGTTGGCACCTTAGTCAAGGCAGGTCACCCATCCGGTTCATGATTTTGAACAATATCAAGATTGAGGTGGTGATGGCTGGTATTTGGGACGATGTGGTGATTTCAGAAACTCCTCTACGAGCTCACGCAATACAAACCCCGCATAAATAATCAATTTCTCATTGACGGCTCCTTTTCCTCTGGCTGGTTTTTGGCGCCTCCCCTCTCACCCAGACTGAAAACCCAGGGTTTCTGCTTCCCGAGGATGGCTGCGCGCGCAGAACCCCTCGGGGGAGATCCGCTTTCTGCCCATGGAGATCCAGGGCATCCCGGTGATGTCGCGCACCGGTGCTGAGGAGCAGCGCGAAGCGCGGGAGCACAGAGCGAGGTTCCAGCTGTTCCAGCTGTTCGGATGGAGAAGAGGGTATAGTACTGGCAGCTTCTAGCTACTAGTAGCGATGCCCTTGTTACCAGTAATTATAGAGATATTTGGGTCATGTCATCGTCCTGATTGGTGCGGCTTGAGGGGTCAATGTAGGCAAAGATTCCATATGAATCTTCCACACATGAAGAGTTGTTGAAAGTCTTGTGACTGGACATTTTGGGGGCCTTGGCCGGTCGCACCGGTTGTTTAGTGAACCTTTTTCACCAGCGGCCACGAACTTGCTTTTGCACAGAAGGACCATGTTGCTGCATTGCTTCGCGACTTTCTGGATATATAATCATGTCATGCTTTGTTGCTCTTGCGCCGGCCCCACAGTTACAGCATGCACTCCAACTGTCTCCCAAGAAGGTATTGCATGTCCAGGTAAGGGCTTTGCATCCAAATCCCTCCTCAACAAAAAATGTATATGGTTGCACCCCAAGGGCATAGTCAGCATGGCATGGTGGTCTTTCCTGAAACCCCGGCGGCCGACGATTGGAACAATCGTGAGGCTTTTGCAGAGCGAAGAAGACGGAAGGAAGAAGCAGAGCGACATCAAAGGGATTTGGAGGCAAGGGGATTCCCTTGAGGTCTAGGCCTAGGCCGATCGACGTAGACTCACTCAATAGAGCTGGATTGTTGAATTTTCTACTCCCTGTGTTTCAACAATTGTTGTACAACTTGCTCTTAAATGTGTTTTTGATTTCTGATATATATCGATATATTGTTCTGTTAGAGTTTTTATGGGTTCAGTTTTTTTCGATTGTTATTGATGTATTTGTTTTACATGTTCATGTTGTTTGGTTCATTGTGTTTAATGTGTTTATTTCATGTGTTTTTTGCAGAGGTTGGATACATTGTGTTCTTTCCTTCTTTATTCTTTATTAAGCTGCTTAAGATGCTTGCGGCTTTGCAATTTTCATGGACCCAACACATCCACTCCCCTGCGAACACGTCGTGGCAGCCACCGGTGCCTCCCGTTCCCAGCCATCGAAGCTTTTCCAACTGTCGCACTGCCGCACCGCCTCATTCACTCTTTCAGCTGGAGGCCATTGCTTCTTCTAGGTTGGAGGCCAGGGCTTCTAGGTTGGAGGCCATTGCTTCTAGGTTAGAGGCCATTGCTTCTAGGTTGGAGGCCATTGCTTCTAGTCTAGGTTGGGGGCCAGTGCTTCTAGGTTGGAGGCCATTGCTTCTAGGTTGGGGGCCATTGCTTCTAGCTTGGAGGCCATTGCTTCTAGCTTGGAGGCCAGTGCTTCTAGTCTAGGTTGGAGGCCATTGCTTCTAGGTTGGAGGCCAGTGCTTCTAGGTTGGTCTCATTGCTTCTAGGTTGGAGGCCATTGCTTCTAGGTTGGGGCTCATTGCTTCTAGGTTGGAGGCCAGTGCTTCTAGTCTAGGTTGGAGGCCATTGCTTCTAGGTTGGGGCCAGTGCTTCTAGGTTGGAGGCCAGTGCTTCTAGGTTGGAGGCCATTGCTTTTAGGTTAGAGTCGAGGCCATTGCTTCTAGGTTAGAGGCCATTGCTTCTAGGTTGGGGCTCATTGCTTCTAGGTTGGAGGCCAGTGTCTGTAGGTTGGAGGCCATTGCTTCTAGGTTGGGGGCCAGTGCTTCTAGGTTGGAGGCCACTGCTTCTAGGTTGGAGGCCACTGCTTCTAGGTTGGAGGCCATTGCTTCTAGGTTGGATGCCATTGCTTCCAGGTTAGAGGCCATCGCCATTGTTTTTTTTCTTTTTGTTGGACTCTCCTCACGGCGCTGGAGGCCTGGCAGCGCCGTGCTGCGGAGGCGGAGCGTCTTCACCAGGAACGGCTTCGGGCGCAGGTGCGTTGGCAAGTTGGCGGCGGCGAGGGGGGTTTTCACCCGGGGCGGCGGGCGAAACAAGGCTTGGGGCGAGTGAAACGATTTTGGAAAAAGTTTTTTGGGGCCGAGTCCCAGTTAGCTGAGAGCCTAGAAACAGAAATGTTTGATAAATTTGTGTGTATGTTTGTCCCCTTGGACATTCCAAAGCAAATGATAGGTCCACAAGTTGACAAGACTACGCACGTGGTGCTTGGAGAGGGGGTAGCACGGTGTGCCTTTCGTAACTGAAGCAGAGCTAAGTGGCTTCAATAAAGGTGGTTCGCCCAGAATTTCCAGTGCACTGCGGCTTTTGAAGTACAGGTTGAGCTGTCATGATGTCCTTTTTGTCACATGCATGTTTTGTAATTTGTGATCGTCCTCAAGCCTTGTGGAACATGTCAACACTGCTGTTCAATGTCACCATTTCTTTGACGGATTTGTCCACGAAGATCAGGCCTCACGGTGCGAATTGGCTCCCGTCGCTCCAGGCTGAGAGAGATGAGAAAGAACAGAGCAAGGCGACAGATACACGGTTGGGTAGAGACTGTATGATCGGATGTAATCGGGAGGTCACCTACTGACAGAGCAATGACCCGTCATACTGTAGTGCTTATAATATGCTTATATAATAATGTAACATGCGACTACGTCTCAAATATTATAGGGAGATGACCTGCCATTCTTCGTATGTTTTTTCCCATAGCCAAGATTGCAGCCCACGCTGTGCGAGGCGGAGGCAGTTTTTTCCGCCTCACTCTCCACCAAATGTGGGAGTGGCCGACGTAAATCACGTAGCAGCGTCCCACTGTTCGGTCTTTAGCAATCTCTTCAGTTCAGCTTCTCCATCAGGGTGGCTTCAAGTAGGCCAGTAGTTTCCCCGAGGCACCAAAACCGCAAAGTAAGTGAGCATCTCCCACGTTACAACCATCCAGCTACCTGTCCACTACTAAAAGTATTCTGACTTTGGAGATCTCTTGGGTGTAGTCTTGCCACTTTGGGTTAACACTACCAAGCACTCCGAAGTCATGAACACAAAACATCAAACATCCCTTTGGTCACTCATCCCTTCGCTTCAATCTGGAAGAAACGACGGGTCTCAACGAACCAAAAGGGTAGAACCTCGGTGCAACCTGTCGTCGTGGAGTCGCTCTCGCCCCTCCCCACCCGAGTCGCCCGAACAGGCCGATCTTTTGAAGCCGGAGCGGAGCGGATTCAAGGGCCGCACTGAGCAGCTTGGTGTCATTGAAAAGGGACGAAAGGGATGAAAGTACCACCCACATGTTTCAGAATGGAATGAACACCAAATCCTCCACCCTTTGTGGAATTTTCTCCATGGTCTCGCTTCATGTGTCGCTTCATGTGTCCATCCCCGGTCGTGCCATCGACCAGCAGACCCCCTCCCGCCGATCAAACGAGAAAGCGATGGACGACCGTCCAGACACGGACCGTTGGACCGGGACCGTGCTTGATCTATGTACAAGTGTTGAACATTCACCAGTCAAAAGCATGCAGAGGGATGGACGACAGGCCCAGTTCAGTGACGAGAATCCCACTTGCTGACAGGACCTGACGAATCTTCAAGTGCATTGATATACTTGGCAGTCCTATGTATGTGGCCCAGTTCTACAGCTTTGCCGTATGTGGCGCAGGTCCGTACTAGAACGTCACTACGCGGGCGAAGAAGAGGAGGCCCCGAGAATTTGCTGCATGAGAGAAGAGATGGGCAACATGTTAGTTGTTCTAAGTCTTTCTCACGTTCAATCGCCCAGACAAACATTTACAGACGATGAATGTGCAAGAACACAGCAGGTCTTTTCGCACGTTTTTAGCCATGTTGCCCTTAATCATGGGAGTGGGCCGTGGCGCTAAACAGAAAACACTTGTCCTTTAAGGTCTTGGCCGTCCGCCTCCATTGACCTCCATGTTTGTTGGAGGTAGGTTATCATCCGACCTTACTTGACAAGCCTCAGGTATGGTGCTTGTGTTTTGGGAGGCGACATGAGGTGACTAAATGTGCCAGTCACTTGGATCCAGATTGTTAACAAAACCCTACTTTGAGAAGTCGTTGTGACTATGTTCACTGTTCCATGCACGATGCCACGGACGCATCGAAACGCCCAGTCGATTCAAAAGTAGTGAAAGAGGAGGCTTTTGCATGATTTCGAGATGAACTGTACGCTTCCTTGGACATCAAGACAGATAACCCCACTATTGGACAGTCTTAGCTTAGTGCGGACCTCCTTGGAAAACCAAGCCCAGCAGGCGTTGTTCGTTGGGTGGTTTGGTGAAGTTTTGAGTGCCAGCTACGACCTTATGTCTTCAATTTTTTTTGGAGTGTCTCTGTGTTGCATTATGTGTTTGTTCTATTTGTGTGTGTGTGTGTTTACGTTATTTGTTCTTGTTTTTCTTCTGCGCTTATGGTCAAAGTTTCAATAGAGCAAACAATAAAACAATTGTAAAGAAAACAAAACCAGCATAACAAGAATCAAGTCAATCACAACTTAGTTGTAACAAATACCACCGACATACAATTCAGACAACATTTTGATAAGCAGAATTGTTGAACAACTGCACGTACAAATACTTGTAGTCACGGGCATCCAAACGAACAGACGGGTTATACATATATATATATTATATATATTATATTTAGTATATATATAATATATTGATTATATTATATATATATATGTATGAGAAGACCAAACCCGTTCCCCCCTGGAATCCGGGAACGGCGGAACATGTTCGGCCGACGATGACCAGGCGCCGGACCATTACCAGGTGTCGAAATCTCAGTGACGTTCAAGACAGTGTTGTGAACACGACAGACGGGGGTTTCATCGATCTCCAATGGAAGAAAACCCACGGAAAGAGCAAAAAGGCTTTGAGATTCTGAAATGGAGGATGGAGGAGACACATTTCAGGAATCCATGCCAGGGAGACCAATGAATGTTTGAGATATTTTGAGGAACAACACCTTATGGTTACGGCGCAGAAGACCCTGCAACCTACAGGTCCAGTGTCCATTTGTCCCCTGTACATGGCGGTTTCTAGGGAGGCTATATAGCTGTTAAAGTCCACAGACCAGAGTCACTTGGCGTTGGTTTGGAGTGTTTTCCTCATCTCCTTGCACCTTTCATGTGACCTCAACCGAGAGAAAGAGAACTTAGCACGTTAGAGATACCCTCCGATGGTCAGGGAAACACAGCGGAAAGGTGGCAGACAAGTTTCAATTCATGGGCTTTGAACATTTGGGGTACTGGCTGAGTGTTTTTGCTTATGTGTTTTACTGTAAGGGAGACACCATGGCATTGCAGAACCATAATCTCGCACCAATCGCGTGGTGTGTGACCTCCCACTGAAGACTGAATCAGAGGTTCTGCAAGGGGGAGATTGTTTGATTCCTAAGGAAAGGCACCATAGTTCATGGAGACAAGGATTATTTCGGAGGAGCATCCCTGTTCATTGATGGTTTCATCATGGGATGCTGGGGGTCTTGGCGCCATGCGAAAGCCGGCAATGGCGCCAAACATCAGATGCATTGAGTCTTAATGGCGTCCCTCTTACGTCGAGAAGCCTCATTCTCATGCAGATAGGGGCTGCATGGGAGCTCATTCAATCTGGGTTTGTACTCTTCGACCCAGGTGCCGGCACTGCGGTGGACCCGCAGCATTCCCCCAGACCTTTTGTTTGGCCGGACGAGTCAAGCGGCGGCGAGTGTGTGCCGCTTCTCGAGTAAGGCTTGGTGTGCCTCGCCATGCTTCGCAAGAGGAGATCAACCAGGCGAGGGAACCACCGATTGGTTTGGAACATGTGGTGGATCAAGTTCCATGATTGGTTCGGAGATTTTTTCAACAGGTGATTCGGTGATAGCATGGCCCTTTTAAGAAGAGAACAAATTATTGTTGAGTTATTCGCTTCAGGATAGGGGGCTTGAGACACATACCCTCCCTGCAACAAACATGGAAGTATATAGAACACCTCCTGTCTTTAGAGCAAAATGGTCTTTCCAGGCGCCATGCCATCCACTTCCATCAGAAGATTCCACGAAGGGTACATTCTTCAAGTCATTACATTGTCAGGTAGGCAGATCAGTAGTTGCACCCGTTTACGCTGCTTGTGACAAGATATCCTTCATCAGATCAGATCAGTTTGATTAAGTCAGAGATCATCATCCCCAAGCACCAATGGTTACATCTTCAGATTTAGGCTCCTTTCTGGGAATCCTATATGTACCCCTTCCCTGGTCCTACCTCTTCCCTGGATGTGAGGGGCCACCCGGCCCTGCCCAAGTCATGTGTTTTCGTGGCCACTGAAGCCGAAGCAAAACGCACTGCTCCAAACTCACAGGGTTCAGGGCCGGCTTCGCATTGCCCCAAATCGTTGGATGTAGAGGCGGTGGAGATCTGAAGGAGGCACCCGGCAGTATGTGGATAGCACCCCTTTTGGACAACTCTACGGTTACGCCATTAAAAGATGTGGAGGACGGCCCATTTTAGTGTAGTAACTACCATATTGTTTGGACAACTCTATATTTGTTGGTGCTAAAAACTGATGAGACCGTAAATCTCTGGACAAGTTGTGGCCCAGAAACGCCCAGAAACACTCTGGTTCCCACAGAGGCCTACAGAGCTTTGTCGAAGCCGCTGAGATGCAACAAGAAGCTCTTGCCACCATAATGTCCTTTCCTGCCAAGTGAAACAGGGTATGATAGCAGGGATTTGGTGGTCCTGTGTACCTTCCTTTTCTTCAACCAACTGGTACGGCGGTGTCCAGCCACCCCAGATGGCCTTCGAGAAGGATCGGAGCCGTTGATAAGGTTTCTCACGGAGATGGCCCTTCCTGGTAGAGGAAACTCATTGTAGTGGATATCCCTTCCAAGATATTCTATAGATGTTGGTTTGAAGGTTGTTACCTCCTGCAGCTGAGTAGGAATTTATAGTAGTACATGTTATATATATATAGTGTGTGTATGTGTGTGTACTCTTCCGGCTATCCATGTTCAGGGTATTTTCTAAACATCTTATATTGCATGTTTTTCTGGTGTAGTTCCAGGTGGTGTTGACTCACTTGTGGATGGAATGAATGTTGACTGTAAATAGATGCGGATAGAACTACCAACAGAAACAACGCTTGGGTGCTACCTGGACTTAGTTTGTTCTTCTCGAGGGGTGTATGATGTGCTTTCCTTCGCCATGTCGTGTGAGCTGGACACCGTTTCACCATCCGAATCCAAGTGCTATCTCACACCACTGGATGCATTTGGGGTCGCTCCATTCATCTCAGGGTCGCTCCGAAAAGCACCCGTTGCTTCAAGTCGAGTGTGTTCATCGATGAACATCCATGTGGGGGTTTGCCAAGTATCAAGGAACGCCACCGGTGAGTCCGTTTGAGCTTTTGCCATTCTGTTGTGTTTTTTCTGTCCAAGTCCACCAGAATCTTCAAACAAAATCCGCACAGAAACACAACTTGCACGGATTGAGTCGAAGCAACAAAATCTGGCCACTTTTTGACTTGAGGCTCTATCATCCAGACCGGCTCAAGAGCTCTGGCGGCATCCTCAGCCAGGCGGGTTTACAAACTTCATCAATTTTCCAGTCAGTCAATTCATTCTAGAAACATCTATAGCCATTTATATTACTTTGTGGCAGTAGCGCCATGCCTGTGTGCCAAGCCTGACCTCACTTTGACAAGCGATTGCATGTCTAAATGCGGCCCCTTTTATCCCTTGTTCACCGTACTTCTTGGGTCCCTTAGCGGCAATTTAGGGGACAATTAGGAGTGAGACGAGCAGTTGTTCAGTGCTTTTCCCTTATAGAGTTCCTTATGATTTTGCCTGGATGTGAGTCGCAGCATAGCATTTGAGGAATCTCAATATTTACTGCTTACATCTGTTTACTACAACTCATGTTGCTTCAAAACATGTCAAAACCAAATGATTTCCGAACCTGCCAAACGGAAGAACCGAGACTCACCATGCAAGGCGGCTTTCTTTACAGGGTGGGAACAACCCATCCGGGCTAGACTCCTATCCTACACTCAAACGGGAATGGAAGTGGAACATCACCTGTTGGGCATTCGGCGCGTCTTCGGATTGATTTCGTGGTTGATCCGATTTCTGGCCATGCCATCCACGTCGGCCCACGATGATTCCAGGAAGTGGACAGTCGCTTTGAACACAGATTCTTCAACCATCTTGCATGTCTCACATAGGGTGCCCATCCGGCATCGGTCGGTTACGGTTGCAGAAGAGTGTTTTTCTTTTGTTTTCCGGTGGTGGGGGGTCGAAAGCTGGTCAAAAATGCGAATGGAAGTGCAGCGAGCATGTACAGTGCAACTTGTACATATATATATACCATATGTACTTTGGCTCAAGGATCAAGCGACTAGAAAAGGTGCGGTTTCCGTTCCGACGCTACGCCGCTTATGGACCGTCAGTGATAGCTTCAAACTTCGCTGATTAAGATCCACTCGCAGGTTATCAGCCGTACGCGCTCTTTATAGCCGTACGAGCTACACGAGACCAAGAACAAGACTAGTCATTACAGAAACCTGCAATGTCAAGCTCAGGAGGAAATGGAAGCGAACCCTATTCATTCGCTGCTCCTGGTGGTCCCAACACCATTTCGTCACCAGACTCTACAATGGGTACTGATTCATCAGCAAATGCTGACGTTATCACTATGCCTACTGGATCACAAATCTCGGAAAGATCCGTGCCACCGGCTCGGAATCTGACCGATCTTGCACCCGTAGGACCAAGAAGATCGATGAGAGCTACAACAAGATCTACATCGCCTATAACGTCTACCGCGAGATCCCCAAGAAGGAGTATAGAGAAGAGACGTGACGATGATAGAGGAACAAAAGAGCAAAGAAGAGAGATTCAGCTGGGTGAAGAATTGAGATCAGCGAGAAACGCATACAATTTTCTTCATGAAGAATATGAATGCATCCAAGCCGGATACTCACGACTACACCACGAGGCTGAAGTGGAGTTCAGGCAAATGTCTGACTACAACAGGAAGATGCAGGAACATCTACAAGAGATGACACAGGAAGACGAAGGAGCGACAATAAGAATTGAAGAGCTCGAACACAAGCTACGCTTGGCGGAATCGACAGCTGAACATATCTACATGAGATATCAAGAGCTTGCACAAGAAACTCATCAAGAACATTCAGAGCTTGAATCTGTGAAAGCAACGAAGGACAGAATGTCCCAAGAGCTTCAAGCAGCAATTGGACACATCCAAGAACAGAATGAATCTTCATTGGCGATCAATAGAAGATCAAAAGCCATTCAGGATGAGAACATAGCCTTCGTCGGAATAGCTGACCAGATACAAGCTAGAATGATTGCGCTACCGGATGAGAATGTCAACATGCACGAGGTGATCCAACACCAGAGAGAAGAACAATGGAACAGTGAGGTCAGGGAAAGACGTCTTCAACACAGTGTTCACTCATCTCAAGATCAGAGCAATCAGGAAGCTATGGTTATTGATCATCTACGAGGTCAACTAGCTATGGCACGTGGAGCTGAACTCAACGCGAGAGCGGAGATAGGAGAGATGGAAGTGGGCATGAGGATGGAGATGTTTATATGCCAGACTGAAGTCTCTGCTAAAGAAATGGCAGAAATGAAGGCGAGCCACCATGAATACGAAGCAAACGTCGCAAAGGAGGTTATCGCAAAAGGAGAAATATTCAACAACGAAGTCCTAGAAAGTTCCATCCGTGAACGACAACAATTGAAAGACGTCAACCTCGCTCTATCCGAAGCCAACGCACAGCTGAAAAGAGAGAATATGATGAGAGCTCCTATGTTCGGCGATGATGGTGCTGAAATTCAACAGAAGATCAGAGAACTGGAGAATGCACTATTGGAAAGCCAGAAGGAGACAAAGAATGTCATTATGGAAAATGCAAAATTAAAAGCAGAAGCACGAATGGCACCCATAGTCTCTCGGTACAGCAAGCGTCCTAGTTCCAGAGACCGCGGGTTACCAACCCACGCGTCCGAGGAAGATGAGGTTCGGAACGCAAAAGAGGAGGCGAAGCATTACAAGGACGGGTACAATGAAATGACAGAGAGCCGAGATGAGATGTATGAATGGTATGCCGAAACCCACAATGAGTACGCCGAGGAAAGGGAGAAATCAATTGAGCTATCCGAGGCGAACAAATCATTGAGGGACAAGATTTCAGAAGCAGAAGCATCCTCTTCATCTCATCTTACACCGGCAACCTCTACAATCATGAAAGTATCGAGGAAGGAAGAATCAAAGATAAACGTTCCGTCATGGCCCAGGATCAATGATCTTGGACTATGGAAGGCAAATCTCATTCAATCGATCATCATTGCGGCCAATGATTCAGATCAAGAGCCCTGGATCGACTGGATCAAAGAAGCCATGGACGATCCTGATCCGGACAAGTTTGTCGACTCAGGAGACCAAAGATTCCATTCAATCGATGCCAAACTCGGCCTAGCTCTTACCAAGGTCGTCATGGATGCGAAAGATGATGGTTCAGGTGTAGCTATGAAGTTGAGGACGAGGATCAATGCAAAAGGGAGAACATCAAGCCTCATAAAGGGAAGAGAGGTCCTAGCCCTGATCCTTATGAATTTCAAGACAACATCAAATGTGGAAGTCTTATATACTTCAATGCACCTCTACCAACTAGAATATCAAGGAGACAAGAACTTATCGTTGTTCTTCCACACTTGGGATGAGATTCTGGCAGGAATGAAGCCCGTTGACGTCCCGAGCGACGAAACTCTTCGGGATCTCCTATGGAGAAAGATCAGGAACTCAAACCTCATGGCATACGACATCAGCGCCTACAATAGCATGAACGACGATGATGCCAAGAAGACATACAAACATCTACGTGATATGATCAGAAGGCACATCGAACGGCAAACTGAAGACAGGATGATCCTGGAAAAGGAGAAGGCAGTGAAGAATGTGGCCAATATCTTTCAGAATCTCAAACCAGGCGGACCTGCTCCAAAACTGAAAGCTGCACCAGCTGATCCGAAGAAGAAACCAAAAGGGCAACAAGAACAGGTTGTCTCAGAAGACGCTGCTGCAGTGAAGCCGAAACCCAATCCCAAGAAGCATCCTGAAGACAAGAACAAAAAGGGAAAGGGGAAAGGTAAAGGTGATGGAAAGGATCGCAGCCGAAGTCCGAGTACAGACAAAAAGAAGATACCATGCAAATTCTTCGTGAAAGGTAACTGCACTATGGGGAAAGATTGCCCATTCAGTCACAAGAAACCCAGATCACCATCCAGAGGATCTTCTGTCGGAAAGAATGACAAGCCAGTATGTTGGATGTGGATTCGAGGAACTTGTGACAAAGGGAAGGATTGCAAGTTCTACCATGACCCAAAAGCCTCTCCTAAGAAAGGGATATCTGCACCAGCTGACTCAGGAGACGATAGGCCAAAGCCCAAGGCAAAACCCAAACCGAAGCCTAAGGCGAAGCCTGGAGCCCCAGCCATTGACGGTGAACTCTTCATGGACGAATCCGAAGATGAAGGGATTGCTGCATCCGCCAAGGCAAGAGAAGGAGGTGCAAAAGTATCCTTTAATGAAGAGACTTGTGAGATCATGTTGAACGAAGCGATCTACTCAGTCAGGGACAAATGGAAGGTAGTAGAAAAGAAACCTCTACGTCCGGACATCAAACGATACGATGAGAAAGAGCTCACCTGCTACACGAGGAAAGAACAAATCAGATTTGAAGAAAAGGTCGCAGAGGCGAGAGGCATACTGATGGTCCCCTACACTGAGATCAAGAGGGTCCGAATACCAGTTGGACCAAAGGGTGACCTATCGGTCACTATGTCTTTTGACGAAGATGACGGCCTAGTTTTCCATCATAAAGTCATTCCTCATGTATGCGAGGGAAAGAAAGATCATGCAGACACAAAGACATTGTCTATTCCAGCCAAAGGGTCAAGAACGAAATTCATCATGGACACAGGATGTGGGTATGATTTGATATCGAAAGGCAGAGCCAAGAAATTAGGTCTGGAAGTGAGAGAAAGCGACCAATCAATGTCATTCTATACCGCAAATGGAGTGACATCCACAAAAGGAGTCGCTGACATTCATTTCGACGAATTTGACTCTACCTACTCCCCATTCGTCCTAGATGAGTCTCCTTCAGTACTGTCTGTTGGAAAGAAATGCATGGAGGAAGGATACACATTCATATGGCCAGCCTGCGGCAACCCGTACATGGTTTCCCCGAACTACAAGAAAATCATGTTAGAAGTAGAGGGAAACATCCCATATATTGTCAAGGGCAGTGACTTCTGTACTCCCACCGACGATACAAGGGCGGAGATGATCGCAAGGTTCACCCTAGGAGAAGATGAAGCTGATTACCAATCGACTTTCATCAACTGTGATGTGGATCCTCAAAGAATCATGTGTGATGATGACGACCTTCCTGTGATTGAACCTCCAAAAGTCAAAAGGCGAAAGAGGAATAAGAAGT